CACTGGAAGGGGAGTCCCAGCAAAATTAGATTGGAAACCATACAATTATTAATAGAAAAAATTTGTTTAGTTGCTGGGCTTAATGCATTTTCTCCAATGGCGCTGAACAATAGCTTTGTTTCAGCTGCACTTAATTGCGAACATCTGTTGTCAGAAATGGGCCATTTTCATAGTATAGACAATGCTCTAGTGCAGGGATCGGCATCCTTTGGCCCGCGGTCTGCCAGGGTAAGCACCCTGGTGGGCCGGTTTGGAGCGGCGAACCGCGGCCAGTGGGAGCTGCAATTGGCTGAACCTGTGGACGCGGCAGGTAAATAAACCGGCCCAGCCCGCCAGGGGGCTTAACCTGGCGAGCCGCGGGCCAAAGGTTGCCGATCCCTGCTCTACTGCCTCCCTCCTTCCACCCAACACAGCGAGAGCCCGAACTCTATGGGACCAGGCAGCTAAACTGTGTTCTGTAGGAGAAGGGAAGAGATGCTTGCGGCTGGCTGAGACTTCAGCATTGTATGCATGGCATTTTACTTGTCATGATATTTGAGTATCTTAGTTTATTTCAAGGGCTAATAATTGGGATTTGGTATAACTGAATACTAACGCCTGAGACTTCTACAAATTCCATCCTATCTTTTATAATAGTCATCTGGGTGAGCAGATCACCAACTGTCATTAGGACCTCACCTGCATAGAGGATAACGTTGTTACCCAAGTCTCTGGCATTTATTCCCAAGATACTCTTTTAAAAACAAACAAACAAACAAAATTTGTGTACCAGTTTCCATGACCACGAATATAAGATGTGATGGGGCAGCCCTGCTGGGTACTTCTCAGAAGGCACTAGGTTTGAAGTATCTATCATTAACTTTGATTCTGGCTATAAGAATTTTTTAGAAACGGGATTCCATCCATCTCGTAAATGTTCCCAGTTCCACACCATCCAACTCCCCCCTCCTCTGTCCAAATATTTACATTTGACCTTATCAAACAAATGCTTTTTCTGTATCAAGGGTCATCAACATAACAAGTGCACCCTTCCAGAAAGTCAAATGGATCATTCCTGTAACTCTGCATGTTGTTTGCTAATTGGTGGCCTTGGATTAACCCCATCTGATCTCATGGCAGTAGAGACATACCAGTGGATTTTAATAACCACAAGTGACCTTGGTGTTCTGCCTCTTTCAAAAGATGGAAGAGCTTCCATTTTCTATAACCTCAGTTTCATAACATACATTTTCTGGTATATGCAATGTTAAAAGGTGGATGTGTTGAATGAAACACAAGAGCCAATGTGTATTTTGCAATTCTACAACTCTATTTTCTTTGATCAGCAGCACCTAAGACACTGTTTTTAAAAAATATTTTTTCTTTTGTTATATTTCCCTGTTCATTGCCTAGGTATCGCAGTACCTGGAGTGGCTCACAGCGAAGAGTGCCAAACTCAGGTCAGACTGTTAGGCTATGGCTACACCATGAGGCTTTTAGCGACACAGCTGTGCCGCTACAGCCGTGCTGCTAAAAGCCGTGCAGTGTAGCTGCTGTTTGTTGGCAGGAGTGCGCTCCTGCCAACAAAGCACTGTTCACACCAGTGATTTTCATTGGTCAGCCTTTTGTCGTTCGGGGTGTGTGTGTTTTTTTAACACCCCCGAATGACAAAAGTTTTGCCGACAAAGTGCCAGTGTAGACAAACCCTTAGAAATCAGGGCAGCTACCACATTGAATACTTAAACAAAAAACTAACATCCACTGAGCAAACTATGCTACAATCAAGAAAAAATGCTATGCAATTGTCCGGGCAGTTAAGCAGCTTAAACCCTATTTGTATAACAAAAAGTTCACTGTACTAAGTGACCATGCCCCACTAGCATGGCTACACCGAGCTAAGGGAACCAATTCTAGATTACTTCTTTGGAATCTATTGTTGCAGATGCTTTATCGAGAATAGGGAATCCTTAAGATCTATCCAGAAGTGTCAGTGACACCCCTTTCATACATTGGTGAGCGGGGGGGGGAGGCACTAGGGAGGGGTGTAGAGGCATGAGCAGTGGGCGGGGGACATCGGGGGTGGGGGCCGAGCAGGAGCAGGGCCTGGGGCAGAGTGGGGGTGGAGCATGGGTGGGAGAAGGCCAAGCGGGGGTGGGTCTCAGGGTGGATCATGGGCGGGGCTGCGATCCACGTCTAGGGAGCTTCCTCTGTCCATGCCCTGAGGAACTTATGAAGAGAATCTAAGTGACTGGCAGACTATTACACTAGGGAATAGGCTAGATCACCCAACTGTTTTTTTCTATCTCTAACTTCTGTGATTCGCTCTGGAATTCAAAATACATGCTTATATCTACCACTGGGTAAAAAGGAGGCTAGCACAGGACCCAAGGCAGAGAACAGGCAAACATACGAATACAAAGAAATCAAATCCTTTATTTACTAACAGGCCAGCTTCTGCTGCCCTGATTCATGCTGACTCGTACTTTATTGTAGATACTAGTCATCATGAGTAAGGGTACATTTTATGCTACAGTAAAGAGGAATGACCTTGCTCTCTAGGGCATTGTCAAATTTCACATATCCTGTTAATTACATTTCACTGACACTTGGAGTAATAGTTTCTCTTTTGTTCCATGATGTAAATATTGCAAAAGAAAGGGTGCAAGAGAATTGCTCCTTTGTAAACTCAAAAGAAAACCTATCCATTTTGGATGGACCAAATCCTGCAAATTTAAGACAATATCAAGCCCTAATCTGTAGAGGTGCCTGGGGCAAAAGGGAGCTGAGTGGTACTGGCCATGCACATAGTACAAAAAACTAGAATTGCTCAAGGAAACCAAGAAGGATTTTAGCAGGCATGCTGTAGGGCTCTTTTCAATAGAAGCAGCATGCATTCCTTATTAATGTGTGCTTCACAGAGCAACACACACTAGCCAGCTTCCTTTTGACAGCAGAGCACACCTGCATGAGGTTGCAATTTATGAAGCACTGCTAGAATAAGAGCGATTGTGGAGGACGGTGATTTCAAACTTTACTCTCACATGGTCCTTTTAAGATGAACATAGTAATACATGACATGGCTAAAACACCACTGCATGTTGTTATATATAAACATTCCTGCTATTGTTCTGTTAGCTGCCATTTGCCTCCCTCACAGGCTTCACAGGGGCACTCAGTGGATGGGGCCTAACAGCTAAGCATTAAGAAAATACTACTCCTGGCTTTGGAGAGTAGATTTATACCAGTTCTTATCAAATTACAGTCCCTGGACCACCTGTAGGCTGCAGAGCCCTTTGGGCTTGTCTGCAAAATGAAACTTTTGACAATTAAGCAGTGGGGGATTAAGACACTGGGAGGGGAGGTGGGTCCATGAGGGAATCTTTTTCTTACAAAGTATCCTGCAATGGAGAAGTTGACATACGCTGACTTATGACATATTGTTAATTTTTTTCATAGTTGCATCTTAGGCTATTGGCTACACTAGGACTTTGGTTGCTAAAACTTTTGTTGGTCAGGGGTGTGAAAAAAACAACCCCTGACCAACAAAAGTTTCACCAGCAAAAGCGCTGGTGTGGACAGCGCTATGTTGGGAGGAGAGCGTTTCCCACTGTCATTACTACCGCCACTCATTGGGGGTGGTTTCATTATGCCGATGGGAGAGCTCTCTCCCATCGCATAGAGCAGCTACATACCGTGTTTCCCCGAAAATAAGACAGTGTCTTATATTAATTTTTGCTCCCAAAGCTGCGCTAGGTCTTATTTTCAGGGGAGGTCTTATTTTTCCTGGAGCTTCGGGGCCTTATATTCCGGGGTGGCCTTATTATCGGGGAGGTCTTATTTTCGGGGGATGTCTTATATTACAGCGAGAGGCAAAACTGGAAGTAGGTCTTATTTTCGGGGGATGTCTTATTTTCGGGGAAACAGGGTAGGATACCTTACAGCCGCACAGATGCACCAGTACAGCTATGCTACTGTAAGGTTCGGAGTGTAAACATAGCTTAAGACAAAAGACATCCAGTTCAGTTCAAACTTGAAGGGTTTGTTACTGTTTCTGTGGCTGTCTAATTTTCATCTACTAGCTTGTTTTCACAAATAGGTAATGGTTAATAAATCTAAAAGGCGTGCTTGAAACTGTATCACAGCAGTTAGGAACTGCATTCATTGGGCACTCAGGACTAGAACTGTGTAAAGGAGTGAATTTTTGGTTTGCCAGCAATTTCAAAAAATTGAAAAAAAAAAAAATTTCAGGTCAACCTGATCAAAATTTGTCTGAATTTTTGGTGACTCAAAGAGTCAGGATTTTTTTTGTTTCATGTTGTATGAAATACTTCATTCAACCTGAAACAAAGTGTTTTGTTTCTATTTAAGGCATCTTTAAACATTTTAAAATATAACAAGCAAAGGTAATTTGGAAACGAAGGACAAGATTCACCAGGAGACTTAAGTGCCGTTCGTGAAACCAAGGAGGAGCAGAGAGTGCTGCCACCCCTTTATAGCCAATAGCTTTGGCGCCACAACTTGAACTGAGGTTCCCACATCCCAGCTGAGTGCCCTAACTACTCAGCTATTGAAATGGGTATCTGTCAACTCTCCTGTCGAAGCCATTCCACTTTGTATAATAAATTAAATAGTCATTGGATCAGAGCATGAGAGTGACTCTCTAGCGTGGTGGTTAGGGCACTCACGGGTGGGGGACTTCTGTGTGTTCCAGTTCCAGTGAAGACCCACTAGGGTTTGGGCCTAGGGATTATCACTCTTCCTCACCTAAATCCCCTAAGAATCTAGCTTTAAAAACATAAAAATGTTTCAATTTGGAAAGGTAAAAACCCTTTTTTTCCTGACCAAAACAATTTGCCAAAATCAATACAAATTTGTGAAATGTTTTGGTCAACCCGAATCTGCATTTTTCTGTGAAAAAACTTTGGCCAAAAATTTTCGCCTAGCCCTACTCAGAACCCATAGCTCCTCCCTTCACCCCAGCAGCACTCATAGCTGTTGCTAAACCAAATTGTAACCTTCCCTCAACGTGCTCCCTGATCCAACCTGTCCACCACTTTCTCAACAATGACTATCCACATCTGTTTCCCACCTGCTGAATCAATCTGTGAATTTAGCAATCTTCCAGCAACAGTCCTACCACAAAATAGTGATCCAACCTGACTTCAAAGTTGAAAATTACAGAAAAATTGCTGAAATATGAGAGCAGATGCCAAAGCAGTTTCTGCAATGATGTGGTGTAAGGTCAGGCCTTCCACATGAGGCAACTAGGAAGGTTACATTTATTACATCCCGGCTATTTTTCAGTTTTACTCAACCAATAACCAAAAGGATTTCCAATAAAAGTAAAATAGAGCTGAAATTCCAATATCTGCTACATCCTAAGTGAAGATCCCATGTGTAAATTGCTTCACTGTTTGTCGGTCACTACACAGGGACACTAACAAGTGCTAAAGGGCTCTTTGCGATCTCAGAATAAATAATACACCTAGAATCTAACCAACGAATAGTCTCCATGTTCAAATCCTGACACAATGTGAACATTCAAAATGACTCACACTCTAGATTTAATGGCACCTTGATGGTAAGTGCTCCCAGCTACTAGCTTTCCTTGGCAATTACTTGTTCTGCCCTATTTCCATTTCAGCGCTTTAAGTGGTTTTGTAAACAAGCCTTAGAACACATAACAAGCTAACCATTCCAAGGCCAGATGTGGAATTAGTATGCTACTATCTGGGGAGGAGTCTTCCTCACCTAGCTTTGGTATGGCCATTCCAGCAGTCCTCTTCATTTGACATGCCAGCTGTCACTCTTTCATCCTTGCAGATAGTATATGGTAAAGTTGACCAGAACTTTTTTGAAAGCTTCAGTTTTTCTTTAATGTCTGTTACCTGATCAAGAGACAAGAGGCACACTTGATTAAAGAGGACATCCATACTCACTGTCATTTTTAAGAAAAGAGTGTTTAATTCCATACTACTTGATGGTGGAGGTTAAGAAGATCAATGGTACTAAAAGTCAAATTCCTGTATTTCCGAGCAAGGCACACTGCATTTGGGTTGAGTAAGCACAAATAATCCAAGACACCTTTAACTCACTCTTCCTCAAGCTAGACGTTTTTAAACAGAGAGACAAGGGATAGCAACAGAGAGAACATTTTGTTTTTCCCTATTCTCCTTTTTGACTGAAAGGTTCTAAATTTCCATCCTCCCAAGCATCAATCTGCATGGTAGTCTAATAAATGCCAATTCAATAAAACAGTGTTTCATCAGATAAAATATCTCACCCACTGATCTACTTAGTTTTGTAAATTGTCTAAATGATTATATTTAATTCTACATGTCTAGCGTCTAATAACTGTTGAACTGGTAGTGAACAGATGCAAAGTACCCAAAAGCTGTGAGTAAAATGCAGTAGATTTGGAGTCTGTGATGCTGAAAAGATTATATATATACACACACACACACACACACCCATATCCATCTATATAACTAGAGCCAGATAGATATTTATATGTAGACCTCAACTTCAAGAAATGATAGGACAGATTTAGAACAGGTCCCTGAAGTTGCAAGCTCCCTTCTGTGCAAGAGATTGCACCGGTTGGTATAAGCCAGCAAACCAGTGCAAACTTGCTTTCAGCATGTATTTGATGAATGTTCAAACTAAAATGTTATCAGTTTTTGTTTTGCATTTGGTTTACAAGGGAAGAAAATCTATAAACGTAGCTAAAAGGCACAACAAAGGGTAGGCTACAAAAGATTAATGGCATCATTGGGCCTGCAATGGTTGTTCTTATGGAAACAGATGCATTTCATATTAAATGGAATAGGATTATGGGGAACTTGTTGAATAGCTGTCAAAGGAAATCACTGAGTTTTATTCTTTAAAAACCAAGAAATAAAAGCTCTCTGTTCTTCCATTCAGTTTTAAGATAGGCTTTTCAGTGGTTAAGGTACAAGACTGTACTTGGCTATTTATCTCTTTTATCTTTTGTTCTGAAGAGAGTGCAGTTCTCTGAACAAATGCCCCACACTGCTGTGTAATGCTGAAACTCTGTGAAATGTCACATTATACTGCAGGTGATAGAAACATCTGAGAATATTGCATCTGAAGTACTGTTTACATTTTCAACGGTTACTGAATAACCAAGATTCTAAATAAGTAAAAAAGTATTTTGTTGCATGACTTGTTGATTCCTGCAATGATAGAGATCTATATAAATCTCCTCCAACCCTAGTTGTTTAGTTTTAGTATCACACACTGCAGCAGCATGTGCAAGCCTTTTAGCTCTGAACAGGGGAGCCCTTTCAAGCCAAAAAATTACACACCAGATTATCGACACTAGGCAAACCCTCAGTGACTTTGTAAATGGTGTTGAGATAAATCAACACAGTACATTACAGAATATTATATTGATTTCTCCTGGTCTTTGCTGGATCTTTCGGGTCCCTTGGAGCAGAGTGCCCGAGAAGTGAGTGGACAGGAATTCCTCCCACTCCTGTTTGCCTGGGACTGAGGGACAAAACTGAGGTTTACCAGTGACTCAGCTAATCAAGGCAAGCAACTCTGTTAACCCTCAGGTGCTCCCATACCAAGGTGTAAATTCCACAGAGCAGTAGCTTGGATAAATTCTATACAACACTGTCTGGCTTGAAATGGGGGAAAAATAGGCTGCAGAAAGCAATAACTATTCCAATAAACTCCAGGAGTTTAAAAGCAACAGGAGGACATTTCTAATCTAATGGCTGTGACTAACTATTTATTTAGGCTCACTGTGATGCCTGGTGAGCAGTTATTTACAGAAGTATTCCCACGGACATCAGTGGTGAGCATGGATTCTCAGGAGTAGTGACTTATATGAGGAATGGGTTCTGACCCCTAAAACTTAGATTTTGATAGCCATATGAAAAAGAACATGACTGGCAATTTAGGACTGTACACTTTTATTTTGAGTCACAAAAGAGTAAATATCCTTTCGAAGGGGCTTTTCTTTCATTCACCCCTTTATGAAAGGCTTCCCTTCTGCTGTGCTAATCCTGCGCTTCCATACAATTCTTAGTAAATTCTCACAGTATTGTAAGGGATTTTAGTGGAAGTCCCATGGCTCAAACCCTGGATAAGGTTTTCAGAATATCCCTGTAAAAATGAACATGAGGGGGTCCAGATCCAGTGTCATTTTTGCAAACGTTATGCTGTTGTTGTACATGTACTCTCTGTGTGTGCACTGCTTTACACCACAGAGGAATGATGGATTATTAAACTTTATAATTAGAGAGATTTTTCTACACTACGAAAACAGACAAGACAAAGTAACAAGAGCCTGCATATAGCACTTTGCAAACATTAACTAATTAATCCTCAAAGCTTTCCTCTGAAGTATTATCTTCATTTTGTAGCTGGGGGAAATGACAGAGAGAAATTTGCATGTACAAATTTGGCCAAAGCACAATACTAGTTCTTATATAGTACTTTTCTTCTATAGCTCTCAAAGCACTTTACAAAGGAAGGCCATATCATTACCCCCATTTTACAGACAGGGAAACTGAGGCATGGTGACTTGACCAAAGTAATATCAGTAGCCGAACCAAGAATAGAACCCAGGACTCCTAGACGCTAATTTAGAGTACAAGCTACTAGACCACACCAGCTACATGGGATAATGCTTACCACACCAGGTACCTGTGCTCTCCAATAATGTAGTTTGAGAAGAGGTGATACTGTAGTGCTGTAATCACTGTGGAATGACAAATGTTTTGGTTCTAATGGCCCCCACTGCAGATGCAATTTCTTAAAACTCAGATTATGGAAAGCTACACTCTAAAAATAAACATTTAAATTGTATTAGAGTGGGGAGTGTGGTAATGAATATTTTCACTTGCTAGCTATGTCCTTCTCTAGCCAACTTTATTCTGACATTACACAGTGTTGAATAAGGGCATTGACACAACTCATCAAGTCTTTTATTCTTTCACACTGCTTTACTGGGACGTCTGCTCATCCTTTTGAAGCATGGTAGCTATAGCTGGACTTGACAGGCTCAGCTGACCTGCTGTTCTTCCCCCATGAAGCTAACTTTGACTTTGGATTTTCTGGAAGTACAGTGCCATTTCTGTTAGCCATTAGTGGAGGAGGAAATGGTGATACAAGCTACTTGAGGTTCCCTTTAAGAGATGGAGTGGAGGATGATGGTCATGTTTGTTAGAGGAGTGGGTGGGTGAAATTCTGTGGCCTGCAAAGTACAGCAGGGTCAGACTAGATGATCATGATGGTCCTTTCTGGCCTTAAAGTCTACGAATCTATGTTCAGTCACATGGTGTGAAAGCTGAGTGGATCAGAGATATATTTTAAATGTAAGTCACGTAGCCATAAAATACTGCACAGAATTAGGGAGACATAATTCTATGGAATTCATAACATTTTCCTGTGGGTTTCGGGTGACTTTAGTTGTGAGGTCATCCCAACCACATCAACAGAAAGTCTCCTATTAGTCGCCACAGTTATGTGTTCTCCACAATACATCTTTTGAATATCAACAGTATTCTAAAAAAACACATATCAGATGTACAGTACCCCTAAGATGAGATAAAAGCCATTAAGGATTCAGCTAATATTTCTCACTTGTGGTTCATGAAGTCAGACTACTGTAGCCCATTCAGTGAGCTGTGGCCTTGTAAATGATTCCTTGGTATTTATTATTCTGTGAGCTTTTCATCTGAATTAAGGATTATCTTTCAAGCTCCGTTAGACTTTTATGAAAACATTTAAACAAAAGGCCTATGTAATTTTGATATTTTATATAGTTCCCTTCCACTCTTTCTAGCAGGGATTGGCATTCAAAATCTCTTTGAATGGGATTCATCTGATTCTTGCTTGTCAGACTTCATGATCTATTTTGAACAATTCATCCAAACATTATTTTGAAAGTGTTGATCTGAGTTGCAGCAGCTGTCCATCATAAGAAAAGGGACTTACAAATTGCCACCCACAAAAAAATTAGATTTCTGGTTCATTAGTGCATGTATATTTGGTGATGGGTTTGAAAATTGTACAAGGTTAGCCTGGCCCGCCTCTGTAATTGTTAACAGAAAGAGTTACCGTGTGAGTGAGAGATGTTAAATGTTTGAGCATGAATTTAGCAATCCTTCAAGGGGGTCTTAAGTACTGAGAGGAAGGATGGACTTGTGGTTAAAGGTATTGGCTTGGGACTCAGGAGATCTGGGGTCATTTCCTAGCTCTGCCACAGACTTCCTATGTGACCTTGGGCAAGTCACTTAGGGTACTATCTCAGCAAAACACTTGGACATGTGTTTTATTCCATCCCTGTTCAGCAAAGCATCTGCTTAACTTTAAGTATGTTAGTCCCTTTGAAGTTCAAAGCATAAACTGAGGGTAAGACACTACCATTCTGATTTTTCAACTTACCTTGTACACAAGATTACAAAGCAGTCAAGTATCAGGCCCTTAAATCTATAGGGAACACAATCCCAGAATGATTAGCTCCATCACAGAAAAACACCTGCTAACTCCTACTATTCAGAACAGATAATTTGGGTTAATTAAGAAATGTAACACAAGAATAATAAAGGCCTGATAACAAAATGATGGCATTTCATTAATATGGAAGACCCAGGAGAAATTTACCCGAATATTTTTGAATTGTGTAGTCACAGTTAGGAATTAACCGCACAGTCATCTGCTTTGGGTAACAGTCTGTTGAACATCATACAGGTAGTAACATGAGCAAGACTCAGGCATTGTTTTAAGAAGAAATGTTTCCTATTACTCTTCCCCTCTGATATTTTTTGCGCCACCTTTTTATGGTTATTCTGCAAATTTCGGATGTTTTTGTATTTTAAATTTAAGTGGGAAGCTAAGTTTGCCTTTCTGT